CACTTCATTCCAGTTGGTACTACTTACACTTCAGAGCGGTTGGCTGAGATTTACATCCGAGATATTGTTCGCCTGCATGGTGTCCCAGTTTCCATCATTTCAAATAGAGGCACTCAGTTTGCATCGCAGTTTTGGAGGGCTNTGGGAGGAGGTGTAGATCTCCGGTTGGATGGTTTGAGCCGGGTGAGGCTAGGATCTTGGGTACACACTTGGTCCAGGATGCATTAAATAAGGTGAAATTGATTCAGGAGCGGCTTCGCATGACGCAGTCTAGGCAGAAGAGCTATGCGGATAAAAAGGTTCGTGATGTATCTTTTATGGTTGGGGAGAAGGTTTTGGTGAAGGTATCACCCATGAAGGGTGTTATGAGGTTTGGGAAGAGGGGCAAGTTGATCCCCCGGTTCATTGGGCCTTTTGAGGTGCTTTAGAGGATAGGGGAGGTGGCTTAAAAGCTTGCCTTGCCACCCAGCTTGTCGAGCGTGCACCTAGTATTTCATGTTTCCATACTCTGGAAGTATATTGGAGATCCGTCTCATGTTTTGGATTTCAGCACGGTTCAGTTGGAGGGTGATATGACTTATGATGTGGAGCCGGTGGCTATTTTGGATCGACAGGTTCGAAGGTTGAGGTCAAAGGACATAGCTTCAGTGAAGGTGCAGTGGAAAGGGAAGCCGGTGGAGAAGGCCACCTAGGAGACCGAGCGGGATATGCGGAGAAGATATCCACGCTTATTCAAGACTCCAGGTATGTTTTTAGACCCGTTCGAGGACGAACGGTTGTTTAAGAGGGGGAGGATGTAACGACCCAGCCGATTGTTTCGGGAGTTATAGCCCCGTTTCCCCCATTTCTGCTTCTTTATGTGTCTAGTTCTCGTCGACAGATGTCTAGTTCTCGTCAGCAGGAAAAATTTGGCTGAAACAAATATTAAAAGATGTAAGGTTCATGATCTAATATATGAGCTGTGCTTGAGAGAGTTAGCTCAAAGCCAAAATGTTTTAGTCATGAATGACATTGTATATGGTAATGAGCCAAACCACGTTCCTACAAAATGTTATCTTCGCGGCCACACAATTCAGCCCAGTAAGCGATGGGAAAATGATGTTATTGACCGTGTTTCTTATAGGGCCCTTCTTAACCCTGGACATCATAATTTGAAAAGGGGGCAATCAGATGATGACGACAAGAATCTCTTGAAACAAACTCGTTCTATTTTCTCTTCTATTAGTCATCTTCCAATTTTCACTCTCGAATCAAAGCTTATTTATTTCAATTTTCTAAGAATCTTGGACTTGAGTCGCGTATCTCTTAATAATTTCCCTCCACAGATACTATCCCTCATTTGGTTGAGGTACCTAGTCTTGAGCGGGAGTTTTATCATGCCTCCAGAAATTTGCAGGTTATGGAATCTACAAACATTCATTGTTGATTCATCATCTACTATTTTTCCTGAGCAAATTTGGGAACTAATGCAATTAAGGCATCTCAAAGTGTTTAGTTTTTATTTTCCAAATCCTCCAAGTGTAGCTTTTGACGAAGAAGAGAGGTACTTGGTTTTTTCAAACATACAAACTATTTCTGGCTTGTCTCCAAGTAGTTGCACGAAGGAGGTTATTTCAGGGATTCGGAATGTCAAAAAATTTAATCTATGGAAATATAGATGACTATGAAAGTTCTAAAGAATCTAGACTTTTGGAAAATCTTGTCCATCTACATCAACTTGAAACATTGAGTTTATGTGTCGAAAGTTGGCACTATTCAACAGTGACCATTCCAAGTGCAAAAGCTTTTCCACCAATGCTCAAGAAGTTAAAGTTGCTCCGAACTGGTCTAATGTGGGAGGACTTGAACATCATAGGTGAGCTGCCTACCCTTGAGGTGCTGAAGCTGATGTTAAGTGCTTGTCGTGGCGAAGAATGGCAACCAACAGAAGGGGGATTTACTCGGTTGAAGCTGTTGCTAATTGAGGGTAATCATCTTAAGTACTGGAAAGCCCCGGCTGACAATTTTCCTGTTCTTGAGCGCCTCGTGATTAGAGATTGTACTGAGTTGGACGAGATACCTATTGAGTTTGCAGATATCCTCTCACTACAACTAATTGAGTTGCAAGGCTGTAAGCTTGAACTCGAGGCTTTTGCTGCACGAATTCAACACGAACAAGAAGACATTGGAAACAAACCTGTGGATGTTCGTACCTCCAATACATACCTTCGATGTAAGTATAAATTTATCAAGGTTACACTTTATTTATCATTTCCACAAGGTTATGTTATGCAATTATACTCAGTTCAATTGTAGTGCTTTTGCTTGCTTCGCTTCAAGTCGCAGTATCAGACGAACCTCTAGTTATGAACTAGGTGTTCCAAATCACTCCTAAACCTCACGGGATCTTTTTCAACCATACTCGCAAGTCATAAATCACCAAATGAACCTGATTGGACGTTTCACGGGAATATAAATTTTGCTAAATAGTTAATTAAAATAATTATCAAATTGTTGTGGTCAAAATAGGTATTTTCTTCTAGATCAATATGATAATTAAATTAGTCTAATAATTAAAAATAAAATGGTCTTGAATGCCCTTATTTTGAGTAGTTGTAGGTGATGTAGTTTACTTTGAAGATTTGAGGCTTCCATGCATAGAAATTTATAATGTGAGAGTTCTAGTTTTGGGTTGTATAAAGAAAAGACCCTAATATATATTACTTTTGTGACTTCATTCAGATGCTTTTGGTTATGAATCTTATGAACTTGATGATTGTCCATATTGATGATGATGATGACGACGACGATGATCATGGATATGATGAGCTCCATAACAATTCTACACTAATCGGTATCTTTATTTTTATTTGTTCTCAATGAACGGATGTTAGAAACAGCCTCTACCCTCAAGGTAGGGGTAAAGTATGTGTACACATATCGTCTTCAGACTACACTTGTGGGATTATACTGAATTTGTTGTTGTTATTGTTGTTTTCAATGAACGGGTAAGGATCACAGACACAGACTAACCTCTGTTTTGCTGATCAGCCATTTAAATTTTAGTTTCTCGTCTTGTTATTTTATAAACTTAAAAGAACAAGAGCACTTGTAGATTCTGTTGAACACCCGAGCACAACTAAAATTCTAAAATTTGGACAGACCAAAACTTTTGGAAAATGCATAAGATGAAGATCGAACAAGTTATATCGAGATGGTAACAGTAACATGTAATGAGAAAAGGGAAATAATAGATTAATAATTTGAGACTGTTATAGATTGTTGATGCTAGTTCATCGTTATGTTTTTTATATGTAAATGTATATCGTTCTTTTCGAAGAGTATTATGAAATTATACATCAAGATTTGCAGCTCACTTCGTGAATCAGAAATAAATCCTAGTTGAGATGTAACATATATAAACATTTTGCCTCACTAGGCATGAGTTTACCATGGCGCGAAGTTTCAATTATAGTTACGGATAAGGGTCTGATTTGCCCATCTACTATCATAAATAGGCTTTATTTACCCTCCGTTTAAATTTTTTATCAAAAATATCCTTACAGTTATACATTAGGTTTATATTTACCCCCTTCACATTAAAACGGGTTACATTTGCCCTTTGTTATACTTTAGGATCATATTTACCCCTCTACTCTTAAAAAATGGTTACATTTGCCATCCGTTATACTTTCTTGACATATTTATCCTTACAATTATACTTTAGGATCATATTTGCCCCTCATCCGTTAGATCGCCATGTCCCACCTTTGTTTTCCTGCATGGTACCTTTGCACTTGAAGTAGCAAGCCGCTTCATAGAAGCTCCTACCTCCACTCATTTGAAAGTCACTAGAAGAATTCTTCGTTACCTAAAAGGTACAATTGACTTTGGATTATTTTATTCTTCTTCTAGTGATTTCAAGCTTATGAGATTTTGTGATAGTGATTCTGTGGGAGATATTGATGATAGAAAAAACATAACTGATTTTGTGTTTTTCTTGGGTGATTCTGTTATTTCTTGGAGTTCAAAGAAACAATCCATTGTTACTATCTCGACTTGTGAGGCTGAATATATAGCAGCAACATCTATACATGTCATGCTATTTGACTGAGAAGATTATTGAAGGAGCTCAGTTTGCCAAAATTTAAGCTATAGAGATTTGTATTGACAACAAATCCGCACAGGCACTTGCCAAGGATTCAGTGTATCATGATCGAAGCAAGCATATAGATACAAAGTGTTACTTCATCAGAGAATGCATTGCCAAGAAGGAGGTAAATATCAAATATGTGAAGTCTCGTGATCAAGTGAATATTTTTACAAAACCTCTCAAACTTGAAGATTTTCAGAGATTGAGATAAAGACTTGGAATGAAGAAGAAAAATCAAAATTAAGGGGAAGATTTGATGGGTCCATCCCATGTGTAATATGGCCATTAATTTGGCTTCTTTTCAAGCAGGGGCCAAGTTTTCATGACATTTTCCATAATACCATATCTACTATAACAAATTTGTGGACCAAATTTTCATGACATTTTCCATAACATCATATCTACTATAACAAATTTGTGGACCAAGTTTTCATGACATTTGACATCATATCCACTATAACAAATTTGTGGATCAAGTTTTTATAACATTTGACATGACATCATATCCACTATTAGGCCAAGTATTTCTTGCTATAAATAGAAGAGCTTCTCCTCATTTGAAAACGCACCAAAACAAAGAGAAGCAATTGAAGTTAGAGAGAGTAATCCACATATTGTAGTCTGTGAGATAAATAATGAGTGTCAGTAATATTGTAGTGAGCTATTTTAAATAAAGAGTATTATTTCTTTCAAAATTATAGTAGTCTCTTGACACTACTAAGTTGTAATATTATAGTGATAATATTGCTCCGCTCGGGTATTGTATTTACCTTGTTAAAAGAGTTGGTGTCGTTGTTACTCTCTTGTGTTATTATTATTTTCCGTGGATATATTTTTGGGCGGAATTATTATTTTTCCCAACATCTTTCAGTCGCGATTTATGCTAGAATTTTTTACCAAAACAAAAAAAAGCTTTAGAAACTTGTTATCTGAAATATGCTATACTTATTTGAAGAGGATGAAAATTTTGAACACGGAAGTTTAATTTCTTCATATATACTTGAGCTTTGGAGGACACGACCCAAACTCATGATACGTGTTGTCCGCTTTGGCCTAATAAACCTCACATATTTTATCCCTTGGGCTATGTCATTGTCGAGCCCAAAAGCGCGCGTACCATATGGACTTCTGTTGTGCCTTATAAAGCTCTTCATTTTGCTCTCCCATTCCGATGTGGGATTCGTCTAAGGTGACATGCGCAATCCCTCTTCAAAAGCTTACTGGGACATCATTATTATCAAATTAAAGTTGCTATACCCTTCCTAAGATGGTTTTGATATATTATACAGTGCTGCGCACATGTGAGAAAATGAGGATTTGAGACACATTTTAAGGTTTCACACACTTTCATTTCTTGGTTAAGACGACACTCCAGGGGGCAAATATTTAGGGGTACCAGACTCAGTTTTATTTGTTGTCATGTGTCATGAGTCACCTATAAAGTAAAGACGTTTAAAGAGAATCACTAATTGTATGGTAAGATAATTCAGATTCTTACGCATTTAATCAAAAGAATCGAATTCGAGAACTAAGAATAGAAAGCTTTTTGGTGGGCCAGTTGATATCTCACCACGAAAAAAAGGACAGAGAAATTTTTATTCTATTCCAGAGATTGTTTTCGAGATTTCCCACCCTTTATCATATTATATCTTCTTGACTTATAATTCACGATTTATGCTAGCATTTTTTACTTAAACAAAAAAAACTTTTGAAACTTGTAATCTGAAATATGGTATACACATTTTTTACTTAAACGATTTATGCTATGGCTATATAATCATGTCATTAGGATTAGAATAAAAAATTTAAAGTTACATTATCATTTTTATATATATATATATATGAAAAAGAGTTATCACATACCTAGATTATAAATACCATTTCAGCCGGTCAGAGGTAAGCCATTTTCCTCTTGATTTTAATCTTGGTTATGTACCAAATGTTCTGTGCTTTACCCATTTGTTTGTGGATACTCATATTTGTGTTTTTATTAATTCTATTTTTCTCAAATGTATTCTGTTGCAGTGATTTTGCAGCTGGTTTCCATTTCCCAACACTCCTGTATTGCTAATCTGCCATTGAAAGGTTAGTTGCCCTTAATTACTCTTCATTTGATTAAAACTTAAGAGCAAAAGAGAACACTTGTTGTGGCTGATTAAAATTTTGGAAAATGCAGAATTCTTAAAGAGAGATGCAAAAAGTTTTATCAAGATCTTAACTAGTAATAAAAAGCGGAGAAACTAGGGATTTGAGGTTTGAAACTTTTTTTATGGTTTTCATTTGTCAATGTATTTGTTTCTTTTATAGGCTATTGGAAAGAGCACTTAAAAAATAATTCTTCAACATTTGCAGTAGTGTTATCAAAGGCGAAAAGCGCAAAAACGCTCTAAGGTCCATTGGGGCTTTAAGCACAAAGCCCAAATAAAGCGTGATCTTTAATGAAAAAAGGCGCAACTGAAAAAAAGTAAAAATATGTATATGTAGTTGAAGACTAATAATTATAAGCATGAATAACAAATATATGAATAAAGAAATTGATTTTTTTTGCGACAAAGCAAGATATCAATTGTTTAATATCGCATTTTCAGGATTACACTCGTTGGCAAGGAAAAATATGTCATAAAGCCTTGATGTGATACTAAAGCGCCCACAAAGCAAGGCGAAACACTCAACATGTTTTGAGCCTCGCTTCAGGGCTTAAGCGCGCCTTTGACAATACTGATTTGCAGTTCAAATTCTGAAACAAAATAAATCCTAACTAAAATACATCATTGATCCTAGCGATAGTACTAGTGTTATCCTCGTGTTCGCTATTTTTAGATCGATATTATTACATGATGTTTTTCGTGCTTTGTTTTTATTTTTTCTGGCTGTTGTTACAATTTCGTTTTCCGTAGTTTGTTTTCATAATTGCTGGGATTTTTCTGTATTGAACCGAGGGTCTTCCAGAAACAGTCTCTCTACCTTCATAAAGTAGAGGTATGGACTGTGTACATACTACCCTCTCCAGATCCCATTTGTTGAAATATATTAGCTATGTTGTTGTTGTTTAATACATCATGAGCACTTTATCTTCACTAAGCATATGTATCTATGTGTGTGTGTATAGTAGTGTTGTATTTGCTTCTTCCTTGAGCATATTGAATATGAATCTTGTGTTTGGATGACAAGTGAGGCTTGCTCAGTTGGTAAAAGTACCTCCATCGACCGTTAGGTCCTGAGTTCGAGTCACACTGGAAGGGAAGTGTGGAAACCGAATCTTTCATCGAAAAAATAAAAGATACAACTATTCACCCTCAAACGTATAGATATATAAAACATATGTGTTGGCTAGTTGGAGGTAGCAGGTAGCCAGGTACTGGATTGATTAGTTGAGGTATGCGCATAGTTCGTATTACCATTGTAAGAAAAGATAAACTCGTATTAAACAGCTTTTTGGCAGCTATCAAGTGGATATAATTTTTAACTTATATTTGATAGCAATTTAATCTTTTTATACAATACAACTAATACAAGAGCGTGACTGAAAGGTATGACGTTCGATTAATCAGAAGCATTGACTTCGTGGAACTTGCAGCTTTCAGGTCATAATTGGAAAACAGTAGATATGGCTTATGCTAGTGTTGCTTCTCTTATGAGAACAATGGAATCGGTCTTGACATCCAATTCGCTAATGCAATCTCTAAGAGAAGAATTTAGCGGTCTTCATGACAAAATTAGTTCCCTTGAAGTTTTTCTCAAAATTTTTGAGAAAGGCAATGTTTCTGGAGAAATGACAGACTTGGAGATACAGATAAAAGAAGTTGCAAATGCTATTGAACACACAATTCAACTGCGACTAATAGATTCTGTAATGGCAGATGATGAAATGCAGAAAGAAATGGCAGATGAGAGGCTCTATGATAGCCTAAAACAAGTATCCGAGGAATCTTTGGTTCAAGACTCAAGTTTAGGAAAACATACTCCGAATGTGGAGAACATGAATATGGTGGGACGTGATGATCAAAGAAAAAAATTGCTAGAAGATCTGACTAAAGGCTTCACTAGTGAATCCAAGGTCATCCCGATTGTCGGGATGGGGGCATTGGCAAAACAACTCTAGCAAGAGAAGTTTACAATGATGCATCCATTCGACTTCATTTCGATGTTCGTGAATGGGCTACTATTTCGCAACAACACAATGTAAACGAGATCTTGCTGAGCCTTGTGCATTCTACAAAGGGTGATTCATTTTACATGGAAGGTGAGGCAGAGCTAGCAAACATGCTACAAAAGAGTTTAAAGGGTAAGAGGTACTTAATTGTATTGGATGACATGTGGAAGAGTGAAGCATGGGATGATATTAGACTATGCTTTCCAATTCAAAACAATGGGAGTCGAATATTGTTGACGACTCGTAATGCTGAAGTAGTTTGTTCTGCTGGTACAAAGAATCTTTCTTTGAAGATGGATTTCTTGAATCCATATGAGAGTCGGAACCTTTTTAAAAGTGCAGCGTTTACAAATGAAGCATTGTCATATGAGTTTGAGATCATTGGGGAGTAAATTGTAGACAAATGTCAAAGGGTTACCACTAACTATTGTCGCGGTTGCTGGGCTTGTGTCCAAATGTAAAAGGACAATAGAAGTTTGGGGAAATGTTGCTAAAGATGTAAAATCATTTGTCACAAATGATCCCGATGAAAGATGTTTACATGTGCTCTGGTTGATGTTTAACCAAAGAATTAGATTCTCAGTCAAAGCCTATTTTTAGAAGTACTCGGGTTACTGATAATCAAGAAATTCAATGTTCTCTCAGAAATAAGAAAGGAAATTAGAATAAGAAATGACAAAGTAATTAATAGAAAGCACAAGAAAGTAATTATATTCCAATAATAATCAGAATATGTCTATACAAATGACATTTCTTTCCCTTATATAGAGGTCTTCAAGTACAATGTCTTTTCCCTTTTAAGACCGAGTCATTATGAGCATTAATGACATTAATGAAACGTTATAATTAATAATCGTAACTGTTAGTGAAGATTCTGTAACATTTGTAATCATCCACGCTTATTAATTGAAGATCCATGAATCTGCCCTTTTTACTGTCTTGGTTCATTCCACCAGTGCCTCTTCATATAATTTAAAGAGATTCGAGCAACCATTTCTTTTCACCTCGTGGGTGATTTGTTCGTATCTACTGCGACTCGTGTCTCTTTTAGTGCTCCTCTCCAGCTGTCGCTTTTCTAGTGATCCACGTGCCTTGCCATGTCAACCACATAATTAACTCCACATGTAACATTTATTTTTACCAATACAGATAGTCCCCCCACTTGTCAATTATTCAGCAATTGAATATTTGGAAAGTGGATCACATTTATGGCGGGAATTTTTTGCCGCCGTTTCTCACATACCATTGCATCTTCCTCTGAACCAATGCGTCGTATGTCACTATCATTTAATGCATGCGACACTTGGCAGTCATCGATTGGTTCTGCAACTCTTCAGCGGGTTTTAGGGCTTTTTTGTGGCTGCATCAGTCACGAAGTGACTGTTTTCATAATGACGTTTACATCTTTACCCTCTTTACATGACGGTTGCTTCTGCATATAAATACATCCTTTGCCTTTGCTTTTACGAAAAACTTTCTTCAGTGTTCTTTACTCACAACTTACTCTTGTTCTTCATTACGTACTACTTCCCCATATAACTATGTCTTCTTCAAATCTTGATCCTTGAAAAGTCGTCATAGTAGATGAACTTCCCCCTTCTTCCGCTCCTATCAGGAGTAGGAGAGGTGGTAGGTTACGTAGTTTAGGGTCAGTGTCTGTACGTGGTTCTCCTTCTCAACCCAGTACTACTCCTCCATCATCTTCTAGAACTAGGGCTTCTTCTTCACATAGATCTTTCGCTAGAAGTAGGGATTCTAGTGAACCGCTTCGTGAACCTACTGTCGACGAGATTATTCCCGCTGAACTTTCCTTTGTCACTGATAGAGAATTAATTAAAAATCAGATCACTTTCATGACTTCTCATAATCGTGTTGATGTTTACCCTTCCTAGATTATTGAGGGTTTAGTTTCTATTGTGCGGAGAGATTGCTATTGGAAATTTGACTTCCCGATTCTGGCCCCCATGAAAATCAAAGGATCACTTCCTTTAAAGCTGGTTTTTCTTTTGTGTATACGTATCTTTTCACATTAGGTTTTAAGCCACCTATTAATCCAGTTATCATTGAGTTTTATCGTTTCTTCGATGTGTGTTTAGGACAGATTGGTCCTATTGTATGGAGGGTTATGGCATGCCTTAGATACTTGTCAATTTTGGCTTTTTTACCCTTCACCTTTTACCATATGATTCATCTTTACTCTCCCAAATTATTTCGTCATGGGATTTTTACTCTCGTGGCGAGGAGTAAGAGGGTTTTGGTTAGATCTGAAGACGACAAAGATCATGGCTGGTATGCCTGATTTGTTGCTGCTCCTACAAGTGGGTTAGTAGGTGAAGAGAACATGCCCTTCCCTGAGAAGTGGAACTTTGCACGTAAGTCTTTCTTTCAATCTTTTATTTCTCTTCTTTTTTTGTGAAGAACTTGTAATCTCGTAACTGTTTTACTTTTCTTTTTTAGCAACCATGGGAACTGTTGAGGAGATTCCTGATCTCCGTGGTTGGGTAGAGAAATTGTTAACTGTTGCTCCTATGGAATAAAGGTCCTGGAAATACCTTTCAAACAGATTTGGATGGAAAGTTAAGACTCATGGTAACTTTCTCTTTCACTTTCTTCCTTACTTCCATGTTTATTTTGGAACTTATTAACCCATTTCTTTGTTAGGGTTTCCCATTCGAGGTGTGAGTGTTGCTTCAATCACTGCTTCGAGGCTCTCTCTATCAAAGGCTCAAGAGATAATCTTGAGTTCTTCGTCAAAAAGAAAAGCTGATAGACCACAGAACTCTGAGGATGAAGAAGAATGGGATGAAGGCTCGTTGGTTCGTAAGACACGGGCTAGGAGACGAGTCATTTCAGATGACGAAGCTACTCCCCCTCCTAGTTATGTTCCTATGTCCGAGCCTGAAGATGCTACTTTAGTGACATCTGATGAAGAGACGCCTACTGCACCCCGTGACTCTACCTAACAACTCATTTTTCGTGAGTTTGATGAAGAAAGCTTTTGCTTTATATATGAGGAAACGCCTCTTGCCACTTTTCATGCCTCTGGTCCGATTGAACCTCAGTTACCCATTCCTGCTACTGCTGCCACTATTCTACCCGTGGTTATGTTGACTTCCTTGACTGCCCCTACTGTTACAACTTCCCATGTTGAAGTTGGTTCCTCCAGTAATAGTAGGGCAATGAAACAAGTTACCATCGGAATTCCTGAAGATGGTAATCTTTTGAAGAAATCTGGCCAAGCTGATGTATGGCTGAAACCACTGATTGGCCTAGTTGAGAAGTCAAAACTGGAAAATCACAGCTTTCTAACGTGGATGAATGATATTGTGCATTCGTCTTTAAAGGTACAAACCTTGTGTTTTTATTTTACGTGATTTATCTTTTACTGGTATCACATTCCTCTTTTTATTGCGTAGATCAATCTCATCGGAACGGAAACGATGAAAAGGATCGTCCACACAGAGCAGTTGATGAATGATTATCACACTGAGGCGGATAACTAGAAAGAACAGTTCGAGGGGCTTCAACTTGAGATGGAGGTTTTAGAGGAAGAAAAGTGCACCTTAGAGCAGCAAGTAAAAGTTATGGTAGCAGAACTAGCGGATGAGAAAGTGTCACGACCCGAAATTTCCCACCGACGGGACCGTGATGCCGCCTAACATTTCACTTGCTAGGCAAGCCAACTTAAAAAAAATCGTTAAACCAATTCCTTATTTCCATTCGGTAAATAACAATAATTAACTAAGATGAAATATAATAAGTGCGGAATATCATAAAACTATATTAATTACTACCACCCGGATCTGGAGTTAGAATTCACGAGCATTCTAGAATTTGCTACAAGTAATAGTCTTAAAGATATATATAACTGTCTGAATGAAGGAAAACAGTAGGACATAAAATATAGACGGGGAGTTCAAGGTCTGTGTACGCCGACAGATCTACCTTTAGTCTCCGGACAGCGGACTAGTAGCACATCTCGATCATCCTGAGCCGGTATCAAAATCTGCACAGAAAGTGCAGAGTGCAGCATCAGTACAACCGACCCCATGTACTGGTAAGTGTCGAGGCTAACCTTGGCGAAGTAGTGACGAGGTTAGGACAAGACACCTACATATAATATGAACAATATAATCCTGCTAGTGGCACCAACAGTAAATAAAGAAATAACATGGAAATAATGGGAAAGAAACATAAAGTGGGGGAATACAACATAAAGAGAGAGAAAAATGAAAAGACAGAATTAAATCCGAAAATCCTTAAACGAATTGAGCAATTAAAACAACAAGAAAAACTGCACGGCATCACCCTTCGTGCTTTTACTCTTAACCTCACCAAATAATAAATAAGACTGCACGTCATCACCCTTCGTGTTTTTGCTCTCTTCCTCACAATATAAATAAGACTGCACGACATCACCCTTCGTGCTTTTACTCTCTTCCTCACAATATAAATAATTCATGCACGACATCACCCTTCGTACTTTACACTCTTCCTCACAATATAAATAAATCATGCACGATATTACCCTTCGTGCTTTACACTCTTCCTCACAATTCACAGAATCAATAACAACGGATAGAGAGAGGTTTCACAAAGAAATCAATATTTCATCAATGATTACTTTCACAATTTAACATCTCAACCTCGAATCAATATTCACAATTTTATCAACCTTGGTGGAACCGGATAGGAGTCTCCCAACATTTCAACAACAATAATAAGTATGGATAACATGATTTAAGACTACAAATTTGCAAGAATGGAATTTCACTCGCATGCTACGACTCGACTACAATGCATAGATGCTCGTCATCTCAATTATACATCGTATTCAACAACAAAACACGTAGCAAATAATCACACAATACCTATTCCCTCAAGCCAAAGTTAGACATGCCACTTACCTTGCTCCGAAGGGCACTTAATTCTCAATCACAGCTTTTCCTTTGGATTTCACCTCCAAACCACTCGTATCTATTCAAACATGACTCAATAATATCAAATATTGCTAAAGGAATCAATTATTTTCTTAAATTAAATTTCCCAAATTTTTCTCCAAAAAGTCAAAAAATCGACCCTGGGCCTGCTTGGTCAAAACTCGAGGTTCGGACCAAAATCCTTTTACCCATTCATCCCCAAACCCGAATATATAATTAGTTTTGGAATCCGACCTCAAATTGGGGTCGAAATTCTCAAATTCCCGAAATTCCTAGTTTCTACCCTAACCCCTAATTCTACCATGAAAACTCTTGAGTTTTGGTTGAAAATTCAAGAAATGTAATGGGTAATTGAAAGAAAATGGTTTAGAATCACTTACCAACAATTTGGAGAAGAAATGGCTCTTGCAAAATCGCCTTTCACTGTTTGGATTTTGAGAAAATGAATTTTTGGCTAAAATCCCGTTTTTGGATTCTGTTAAGTACTGGGCGACAGTGTTCATCGCGTTCGCGAGAGCACTGTCGCATTCGCGAAGGGCACTGGCTGCCGAGCCTATGTGTTCATGAGACCCAGCCTGCGTTTGCAATGGTTACTCCCCCTGGCCTTCGCGTTCGCGAGACCCAGCTCGCGTTCGCGATGAAGGAACGGTTGACTCCCCCTCCCCAATGCCTAACACTACGCGTACGTGATGGGTTTGTCGCATTCGTGAAGTGTGACGCCCCCATCGCTTCGCATTCGCGACCAATCCTTGGCGTTCACGAAGAATAAATCTTCAGCAGCCCAATTTACTCTTCGCGAACGCGAAGAAGGACATGCTAGAACACCTGCTGCAGCAAAATACCAGATTTCCAAAGTCCAAAATATCCCGTGGCCTATCCGAAACTCACTCGAGCCCTCGGGGCTCCAAACCAAACATGCACACA